AAAAAAAAAAATTTTCCACAAAAAGAAAATGTACTTTGCGCGACAAAAATCCCCTACGTTTTCTCTATCTATCTCTCTCTCACTTTCACATTCGCGTGTTTCGTTATTAATAAGGTCGAATCGGAAAAACAAAAAAAAAAAAAAAACAACAAAATAAATCTGAAAACGATAAAAATAATAACCCCTCCCCCCCATACATACAAACGAGGGAATTTTGTCGACGCTTTTTTAATCCCTTAAAATTTAATTAATCGAATATTATTTCCGATTAATAATATTAATTATTATTATTATTATTATTATTATGATAAACGTTTTTTTTTTTTTTTTGTATACAATTCTATCGTTTAATTACTCAAAAAACAATTTTCCGTACGATTGTAATAATAATAATAATAATAATAATAATAATAATAAAACTTTTTCCTCTGACATCAACATGAAATTTGGGTTAGAGAAATGTGCCAGAATAAATATTGTCAGAGGTAAGTTAAAACAAAAGCAAAATATAGAAGACTCCGAAGAAGAACTTATTAAAGAATTGGACCCTGGATCATCATACAAATATCTGGGTATTGAAGAAAATTTTGGGATAGCCAACAAGGAAATTAAACCTCGATTGAAGAAAGAGTATTTTAAAAGATTGAGGCTTATATTACAGTCGGAACTGAATGGAAGAAATAAGATAACCGCCGTCGGCACATTAGCAGTTCCTGTAATAAAATATAGTTTTGGCCTCGTAGACTGGACGAAAGAAGAAATCACGCACCTAGATAGAAGGACAAGAAAAATATTAACCATGAATGGTGCGTTACATCCAAAGGCTGATGTGGATAGATTGTACGTCAGCAGGAAAGATGGAGGAAGAGGATTACGACAAATAGAAGCAGCACACCAGAATGCCATTATTGGAATGGGAAAATACATAGAATCCCATCAAGAGGACCCTATTTTAGCCCAAGTTATACATGCAGAAGAAAAAACTACAAAAAAAGGAGTTCTGAAAAGGGCAAAACAAATCGTCCAAGAAAATAAAGAAAATGAGA